CCATTAAAATCACCATCTTTTTGACGTAAATCACCAGCTTTCTCCTCTTGTCCAGTTTCCGTCAACCAATGGTGATAATCTTTCTTGAGTTTGTCCAAACCAGACCAATTTTTAGCTTCGGCAATCTAATATAAATGACCAAAAAGTAAACAGACTCAAAATTCCAAAAACAAATCGGCTATCGGTAAACCACTCAATTTATTTGCAAAAATGTAGTTTATTGGATGATAGATCTCATTTCTGACCAAGATTTAGGAGACTGTAGACGCCCAAATGGGTGTTCATTCCAATTTAACACTTCTCATTGATCATATAAGGAAATAAGAAACAGAACATCTAGTTCTCAATGTGACGTTTGGCATTTAAGATGCACTGACTTACTAAATCAAGTCCATACACTTTTCTACACTAACGAATGCCACTTCCCACTTTGGGACTGTCTTTATTACTCAGATATTAGGATTATGGTTGAAAACTGTTGTCTTTGTGAGACTAAAGTTTAGAAATGAAACGAACAGTATAAAATTAGTGTAGTCATAAATCTTCCCCAAGTGAGGTGGCTCGGATATGTGTTATGTGTGCCCAACCACTACTTATGTCGACGGGTGATATTGTCTGGTGTCGAAGTAGGTTAGAGTAAAGCTAGAAGCTAGCAAACTAAGGCGTGGCATCAGTCGTTGACATAAGCTACTATTGTAATAAGCCATGTTAATGGGCGTAGACTACCTGGTTGAGATTTACGTGATTATCGCAATCAGTGGTTAGGAACGTAGAATGACATAACTCAAAATCAGTTCCAATGGCGCAGGTGCATCTCCTCTTTTTTATTCTTTGGATTCCAAGTCTCTGGACTCTTTATAACCTTCTTACCTGATCAACTAATACTTTTACAAACCGTATCTTTGATACCTGATATCTTTCATCACCAATATTACTGTTACTCACTCTAAAAGCCTAGAATTCGCTCTGACAACTTCATTTCTTTGTGTTTATGGTGTATGGAAACTTAAACCGATTTACATAGGTCCTAAATTCTACGTCACGTTTGACTAATTAAATATTTTTTGAAATGCTCAATGCCACAGAAATGATGTTTTAGACATTTCGTGAACTTTAGAATTCAATTCTATTTTCTAATTTTAGTAGAACTATTTAAGTTATAAAAGAACTTATATGACTAAAACAAATGACCCATTAAGAATTGACTTGGTTAACTTTAATTACTGCCAATTGACTTTCTAAACAAAGTAATAGAGATTAGGGAGCAATTTACTAGCGTCTCCTGTAAGGTGACTAGAATTTCTATGATAAAATATTATCAACAAACGTAAATGTATGGAGATTAATTTGAATGAAAGAAAATTTTGAAAAACATTTAACCAACACAACAAGTTCATGTCAAACATATATGTGTTGAAAATCTCAGACTATGTATAAATAACTTATTAATCAATATGAAATATCCGACATCAGAAGTGTTTCTACTAATTACAAAAAAGTTATTATTTTTTCTTCTTTTTCTTATGAATTTAGTTCGTTATTCAAAACTTTTATGCATTTTAATGAAGCTTTTGGAATCCACATATTGGTAATCCATATATTGGTAATATCATTGTCATAATAATAATAGTAAACGTAGTATGTAATATTTTCCGAACAAGAGATTGACTCAGCCTATCCTTGATTTCATGTTTAACAACCCTTAAATATATTTTTTAAAGTCACACTAGTTAATCTATGTAAAAGTTATAATTAAAACGAAACAAGTACCCGAGATCCCAATTTTCGGGAAAATTTGGCAGATTTTGGGGAAATTCTGGAGAAATTTAGGGAAAACGGCACAAAAACTACAAAAATTCCCCTTTAACTTTGGTCAAGGTCAGTTGACTTTGGGGATTTCCCCAAAATTTCCCTAAAATTAGAAGCTCGGGTATTTTTGGGGAAAATATTAGATTACTTAATAAAAACTACACATAGGTAAGATTGGAAACTTACATTTCAGAAAAGATTATATGCTTATTAGCTATGTATCACTATGAAATGCACTTGTATATGCTCAAATAACTGATAGTTTTATGATAATTTATGAACATGTAAAGTAATAACAGGCACAAAATAATCAATAACAATGTTTTATTTTGATATTCATTGTCACAAATAAAATTCTAATCCATAAAATGCTTATACACAATCATAAAATGTATAGGAAAGAGGAATTCAATTCTCAATTTCAGAAGCAATTTTTTATGTAAGTGACCAGTTTTGGTGCAATATAATCGTTTAGTTATTTAAAAGCAATTTTACTAGAAATTACAAACCAAAAATAACTTTAATTCTTATGCCCTCAGAATATTTAAATATGATTTAATGATAAGTAACTTTATGATCTTGCTTTTGTGAACATTCTGATATTTACTAGTATATTTTAACAAACAACACTTGCAAAATAACCATTAAATGTTAAACTGACCTCAATTGCATCATCCCATTTAAGTAAATCCTTGTATAATTTTACGATATCTTCAATAGAATTTTGTGATAAAAATATGTTCTCAGCTGCTCGAAAGTCTTTCTCAAGGATAGCAATGCATGCCTGAACATTCGACTTAGATAATTTGTTTTCCATTAATAGGTTTCGAGTTTGCCGTAAATATCGTGACTTGCTCACACAACCTAAAGAAGCAAAGGACTGTTCTGAAATTAGTAAATTTCCCGTTTTTAAAGAGGCAAATCCTAGTTTAGTCCACATAGATTTTGTTTCAGGTGTTACATCTAGGCTTTCCAAAAATGAAACTGCTCTTTCGAGGTCTCCATCATCCATTGCAGTACCGAATTCAATACGACTGTCGTCCAAAGCATAAGCAACAGAGTTCACACCTTCATTTATTAAAACTTCAGTCCTGCCATTCTGACGTACGACATCTGTGATATCTCCACCTCTCAATGGGATTGATGTCATTCTGTCAGTCGATTCAGTGTTGTACCAAATGCAAAGACTATCTTTGGACTGAGCAATTACGACATCACTCTGAGGAACCCACTGTACATAGTAGCAAAAGTTAAGTAGCATAACTTTTACACCTGTTTCTATATCGAATAGAATAAGTTGAAGCTTCTTGTCTCGAAAAAGTAGCTTTTGTCCAGTTTCATTTAATTCAATCCAATCAATTTTTCTATCATGAGAAGCGTGTGCAACATTTGACCCTGTTATAAAATCGAAAATAGCTATTGTCTTCGGATCTAACATATAGGCAATTTTTTTACATGTACAATTATTGCTGGACTTTCGTTCGTTCACTCGAACACTTATTAGAAACGGAGTGGTAAATTCAGTTCTAACTGAGCCTAATATTTCATTAACTCCATATTCAATCACATACAATTCACCAGAACCAAATATTATGCAAAATTTATTATAACCAAAATAGAAGCGCTCCTTGGGGTTCTTTCTACTCCATGGAACTTCACTTAACTGATTCGCACGAAGATCACCAAGTATCAGTGTATTTGATGTATGTGTGACCAAGTATCGATTTTTACCCATTACTTTTACATCGTCGATTTCATAGCCGAATTTCGACTGAAGAACAATTGTGTCATCCGATTTCAAGTTTCTTACAATAACTTGACTTGGTCCAACATAATTTAATTCAAAAATTTTCTTGTATAATTTCTTTTTCACACAACAGTCAAATATGTCAACCCCACCACAATAGGTCCCAACAACCAATTTTGAACCGTCTTGCTTCCAGGCAATAGCCGTTATAGTGTACAAATTTTTTATTTCTTTTAACTTACATTCATCCCATCTACCTTTACGAGGGCTCCATGAGAGCACGCGAATGCGATTAAAGCTTCCGAATGCAACGACATGTCCACTAGGGTTGCATGACGCAATAGTAAATTCCTTTTCACTTTCATCTTTGCTGTAATCGAGTTGCTGTACAAGCTTTCCCTCTCTGTTATAGACATAGATACGTTTATCACAGCCAGCAGCTAGAATTGTGGAACCAGCCCATGCTAAAGCATACGGGGCTGTGGGGTGAGTCGTAAGTTTCCCCTGAGCGTCACCTGAACCATCATCATCAAAAAAATATCGAATTATTTTCCCATCTGCATGCCCAGAAATAAATCCTTTGCCCGAAATATTCGCTGAAATTGAAACAACATAAGAGTCAGCATTATATATGGTGGATGATTTATTTGTACGTGTGTTCGCAGCCCTAACCTTGCCATCAGCAAGGCCACAAATAATGGGTTGATTTACTGGCCATGCAATACATGTTACGGGACACTTTTGTGGAAATTTATTGCAAATTACTACTTTCTCATCCCACGACTCTCCAATTTTGTACACAAATATTATGTTGTCTGACTGTGCAATAGCAAGTTTGATAGAATCATGAGAAAATGCCATGCCTCGTACTTGAAATAAATTTCCATCATTTTTTGAATCAGAAGGTTTTGTAGAAAAACGTGTACGACGCTCTCCATTCTCATCAAAAATAATTACCAATCGATCACTAGTGCATACGGCTATTTTCTTGTTATTTGGAGACCAAGCAAGGCTCTGTACCTTAGCTTCATATTCTTGTGTTGGTATGAGAGTTTTCAAATGTACAAGATTCATCTCACTTTCACAAGTTTGAAATATTATCACCACTTGTTACTATGATACCATTTCAATGAGTAATTGAATATACAACGCAATATTTAAATATGGTAGAAAAAGAGGACAGTCGACTACAAAACCAAGACATTTAGGTGTATAGTCGCTGTATGAAGCTCCAAAAATCCTTGTAAATAATATTATTATGCATAACATCTTTCTTTGAACACTTGGTTAAGGTACAACTTCACACTCTAGTAATCACTTAATTACCTTTTGAAGGCATAACTGTATGGTCTTATGAAATTTAAGTTAAAAATTATTAAAACCTTTAGATAAATGAAATAATGGTGTGTTTTTAGAGTGAGTCTTTTAGAGCGCAATTTCAAACATGAGCGCCTGGTGCTTCACCTCTGCTGTTTGGAGATCAGGATTCCAAAGATACGTATTACCGCGAAATATCCCGCACACTTTATCTGTATCCAATAAAATTTTTGGAAATCAACCACTTGCATACCCATGTCTAGCTCAAACACGGTCGATACAAATTCTGCTCTCTAAACCTGAAGTGGAAAGTAAAGTTTTAGCTGTCTGTTCTGCGTTCGATAAAATCCAGTCCGATAAGGTTCTTGTGCATATTTATTTAACACTACATGCAGCTTACGCTTGATTCTTCGTTTATCAAAGATCTCGGTCTTGATAGTCTGGACCACATAGAAGTAATTATGGAAATCGAAAATGAATTCCGTAAGTTCTTTAAATCTACAAAATGTGTTGTTTCTCATGCAAACGGAGATTTAGAATATTGTCGTTTCTCGAGTGCCCTTAGTCTTAACATCCGCCGGTATTCAGACTTGTTCAGTCAGGACAGAAGGCCTACTGCCTATGTCGTTCCTTTTCTAGTATGCTCCTGTAAGTGTCTAGTCTTTACCTAAATGTGTCAATTAAAGGTTCGGACACCACTGCTTCGGGTAAAAGGTGTGAAACATGTATGCTGCGGATATTTTGTTCGTTCTTGCTTCTCATATTCGCTTGCTATGTCCTCTGAGATGTACAAATACTATAAGAAAGAGAGAGGATATATTAGGTCCGAAATCATCTCTTAGTATTATATGCATCAAAATCAGATCACTTAATCTGCGGTAGGACAGAGTAGAGAAGTCTAGCTTTTTAAGCCGCTCGTTGTATGTTAAACTCCGGTGTTCTGGAATTGTACTGGTAGCTGCTCTCTGCACGTTTTCCAGTATATCCGAGTCACCTCTAGAACGGAAGCTTGCAGACTGAACTCAATTCTCAGGTTTAGTACTCACTACGATTGTGTATACTGTAGTAAACATATTAGTATCTAACATGGTGAATGTCCAACTGAAAGTTCATAGGGTTCTAAACCTCTTCTCCATCATCTCAAACCTCTTAGCTGCAACCTCCCGGCAATGGTCTGTGGTCTAAAGATCATGGTTTACTGTCACCCCAAGATCCTTGTGAGACCAGACTACGGGTACAGGCACTTCCCCTATGCTATATCTTTGTACTTTATCAAAGCACACTTGGGGACATTAAAGTGTATCAGCCACTTTTTAGACCAGCTAATCACAATATTTAAGTTTGTCTGAAGTACGCAACCATCTGTGTCTCCTGATATTTTTACATCTTCGGCGTATAGTACCATTGGGGACTCAACTATGTTGCCGGAGCAGCAGGCCAGTTGAACTGCCCTTCGAAGAATTCTGCCCATCGTCCAAGACGTCGATGGATGTTAGTGGTTGGCATCCCGTCATCCTCACAGATTGTTTCGCTCACACCAGACTTCTTGCTGTTTCCCCATTATTATTATTACACTACCCTACACTAATCTGTTCGTTATTGTTCTTTTTTTACACTCCTCACCTTTTTCTTTTCAAATTCTCGTTGTTTTGTGTGGCGCATATATATTTTGTGCCAATATTTGTGAGTTCAAATAATGATAATAATAATAAAGATGTAGCTGCTGCTACCAGCTCATTAGCACGCTCCAACCACCAAGCTTCTCGGTCCTTACACAAGCTTTGCCCGATTTCATTACGTAACATCCTTTGTTTGTTGTCAAACTCACGGTCACCCGGAGTAGACCTACGGGCTTCAATGAGTTGTAAGGAGCCTGAAGAAACCCAGTGCTTATAAGCGGGACGTTTCTCAAAGCGCCATTTTCATGAAGTTGCAACCAACTTGCTAACATCAATCCTTTGGTGGTGATCACTTCGTTGGCCACTGAAAAGTAACGTAAGATTGGCGCAGACCAGGGCATGATCAGAGTCCAGATAGGTACTCCAAAAGGAGCGGCAGTCTTGTACACAACTACGCCAGCGGTAGCTGACCGCGATGTGATCAATCTGAGTCCAGGCTTGAGATGCAAGGGGAGGACGCCAAGTGGCACATCGGCGATGACTGTGCCGAAAGTTAGTGCTAGCCAGAAACAGGTTGTGGTCTGTGCACAGTCGCAGCAGACGGTCCTGTGACCGACAAGTCGCCATCGGCCACCTAAACGACTCTTCTGTGCCTAGACGGCCGACCTGAGCATTCAAGTGTCCGGCTAGTACTACAATATCTGTCGAACGCACTTTCTGGAGAAGAACAGATAACTAGTGGTAGAATTCATCCTTGATTGCATTCGGGCTGCAATCTGTCGGAGCATAGGTGGAGATGACGAAAATACATCGTTTCTCACGCCGATTTCTTTTCACTTTGATGGAACTTTCTAATCTAACAGCGCATAACCGACTGTTAATGGGGACCTGATCGATTAGTGCTGCCTCAGCTCTAGCGCTTAGTGCGACACCAACGCCAGCAAGACCAGACGAAGATGCCACAGGGTCCCCAGATAAACGCACGTAAAACAAGCTTTTTGAAGCGACAGATGGAGATCGAATTTGTAGTACTTCACCAGAGTCTTGAATACGGGTCTCGGATAGACAATAAACGTCGATATTAAGACTTTCCAAAGACATATCTAGCTCTGTCTGCTGTCCGGCCTGCATAAGTGTGCGAACGTTGAAGGCAGCCAGTTTGAATGGTGCACGTGGTTTCAGAAAAACTGCTTCAGTATTCGTACTTGGTGGTAGCATACAATTTTCAACCAGTCAGTGACTCGAGAACGTTTAGATAGAGTCAAATTTCCACCATAGGCGAGCTGCTGTATAAGTCGAAAAATAAGGATGCATAGAGCGGGAATAAAAGAGAATAAATGACGTAAATAATAATAATATCAATAATAGTGGTAATAATAATGATAATGTGAATCGTTTGGTTGTTATTCAAAGCGAGAAAAGTCGTTTCCATAGATATAGAGAGTTCATCATTTGCGTGTAGGCTGTGATACTGCCCGGGTGCCCAAACCGAAGCAGGTGGTTTTCTTAGGGGGCCACACCCCGAGCCTTTGACCTAAAGGTCTGACCCACAAGGCAGTGGAGCATCGTGAGGAGATGCTGTCCCATGGTAGCCGGTGACCAACGACTGGTTCATACGCTATTTGTTCCCGCCGGATACAGGAGCCCATATGCACCATTGGTTTGGGATGCAGTTAAAGTGCCGGACATTCGCTTTTCGTCCTCTCAATTTCGTAAACAACACCTCCGCCACGATAAGTCAGTGAGTAGGACTTTCCTGACAGAGGCTGTATACGCGTGGCCATGCGAGAGCATTTCGAGAGGAAAAGCGAACTTTTCCCACTCTCGACCATACCAGGGCATTTGGGGGCAATCAGGTGTTATTGGTGTCAAATATGAGCAAATGCTACAGAGATGTTGATGACTAAGCATAACTGTTAAATATACTATTATAACTGACCTCGTTGACCCAATTAACTCTTGGAATTTCGGAGACACTGATGATATCAAAGCTTAGATTTCCATAAACCTCCACCTGGATTTTTTTTACTTAAATCAAATTCACTCCTTCAGAAATATAGACTTTCATTTATTTAAGTGTTGTAAAGTATTCGTACACGTGATTAGTACATGGTAAATAAACACCAGTCGATCTGATGCAATTTGAGCAATATTGTGCTGCCGTCAGTATACTGCAGATCGAAAAACTTCTATGCTTGAAGATGTCTGTAAAATATCTTTGATGTTAAAGTTACAATAGGTTGATAAAGTCAAACAATCCCACTTAATTATATTTCTAGTTTGAAAAAGTAGTTAGTAAATGATTTGTGTTGTCTTTCATTTTAAAGTTTTTGTTTAGATCTAGCATACTATGTTGATCAGAATAACCCTAACTACTAAGGCACTTATGCGCACTGCGCGTTATCGTGTTTGTTTGTTTTGTCTAAAACTTAAATATAATTGTTATCCATATTAATATGACGACTGCTGACCTCATATGCATATAGCAAAATTCAAGTTCCTAGCAGAATGTAGAGATTTATCTGAAATTCGGAATAAAAACTACATAATAGCACTAGCAACTATTTTCTCCCATGTTTTACATTAATTCGACATAATTTTCGCAACTTTTTTACAGAATTATTCCTTAAAAATGCATATTTTGTTGCATTCTTACTCCACTTTAACATCCAGACAATCAAAAAACTTCATTTCATTCAATTTGCTAGAACTCATCTATTTTATGCGTGAAAGTGTCAAAAATGTCTCAATACTTGGGCATGTTACAATTTATAGGACGTGTTTACGCGTAAAACTTATTAACACTGGTTTCCCATTAGTTTATGAGTCTGACTTTGTACCCCAGCCTCATTTTTGTCTTTTTTTCCCAGTAAAATTTTTAATATATTCACCACATTCGAACCGAGTTTCCCAAATGGTTCTCCACATTTAAAGGACTGCTTAGATGTTTTAAACGAAAAATGTCCTATGATACCAAGTGGTAAATTTGTAATTTAGATTACTGTCATATGGACTCATCCACAATTATCCTAGATTTTAAACAACTTATCACACCTTTTTGATCCATTTTAATATTTTCTGTATTCGTAAACTATGTGGCACACAAAACTCTTTTCTAATTAAAATATTTGAGGTTTCTAAGTGTCAGTTAACTAGCATCTCTATGGTTACCATTTGTCTATTTTTATTTGACAAACTTGTTATCTACACTAAGGCCAGACCAAAACATGGCACAAGTCCATGAAGTCACTGACAAGTAGACTGTCATATTGGTAGGTGTAGACTACCTGGTTGAGGACCGCGAGATGATAGCAACCGATGGTTAGAGACCCTCAATGGCATGGCTCAAAATCGTTTGCAATGGCGCAGGTGCATCCACTCTGTGTTCTCCCAAATTCTAATCCTCTGGATTCTTCATGTCCCTTTCTTTTTTCTCTTTCCAAATTTATTTCACTGGATTATACTCCCTGAATAACACCTTGAAACCCTAATTTTTCTGATTACAGCTTATAATTTTACTACGTCTAGCACTACGGGATTTGAATCGACCACTGCATCTCTGCGCTAATGTGGTGTGGCAACTCGAACTGATGTACGCACGTACGAAGTTCTACATTGTTACTAACTGACTGACTATCTACACTAAACATGGTGTAAAAATTTCTTCGCTTCACTCCTAATTTATGCTCAGGTGGTGTTAAAAATTTCTATCGAATCAAATTCACATCTTTCCAGCCCTTATATTGTATTTATTTAAACACAAATATTGATACAAAGGGGCACCAAAATATATATTGGCCACACAAATAGGTAAATGAAATTGTGAAGAGCGAGAAAGGAGTCTCGAAATAATAAATAAGTTGAACTAAGTTAATGAGTAAAAAATAATGGGCAATGCAGTTTTGTTATGAAAAACATAACCAGAAAGGAACCTTTCAGTCCCTCTCACTTTAATAAAGAAATTAAAAGAAAATTTCGACAGGGTTACAACTAGCCTCTATTCCAAGTCATCGATGACACTCTGGAAACAGCTCTGATAGATGTAAGTAATACCGGTGTGGATCTGTTACTTGGAGAAAGACTTCTCGACCTTGAGTATGCGAATGATATTGCCTTACAGTGCGATAATGCTCAAGCCATGCAATCCACACTTAATCAGTTGGCAATCAGTGTCCGTAGGTATAGTATGTACTTCGCATCTTCGAGTAGTTTTGCTCTATGCTTGTGAAACCTGGCCTCTCCGAGTTCATTATGTTAGACGACTCTCTGTGTTCGATCATCGCTGTCTCCGAAGGATTACTGACATCTAGTGGCAACACCATGTCAGTAATGCAGAGTTTCGGCGTCGTGTGTTCGGGCACAGAGACGATAATGCAATTGGTGTCACCATCTCGAAACACCGACTTCGGTGGCTTGGACATGTTCTACGAGTGTCGTCCCAGAAAATTCCACGTCGCGCATTATTTGCCGACACTAGGACCGGTTGAAAAAAACGGAGGAGTGGTCAGTTTATGGCATGGTATCGTGGTATGAGAGAAAACTGTTCGGGAATGGCTTCTGTTGGTCCTTCACGACTCCCTGGCTGGGGTCCTAGGGATGGTGCAATACAGTGGCTAGAGACGTTATCAGATATGGCTCATAATAAAAACCGTTGTTGATTCTGCTGCAACTTTCTCCATAGAAAATGAACGTAACTTCCTTTCTGGTTGTATTTTTGCTAACTGGACTGCCTCTCCCATTATTATTTCATTCTCGTACACTGTTCGTTGTTGTCATTCTTCTTATAATACGCACTGTACATTCTCTATCTCTTCACGTTCTCATTGTTATTGTGTGGTGCATATGTGTTTGGTGCTCTCTTATACCGATGATTATGTGCTCAGATAAGTAAGTAAATAAATAGCCTACGAAGCAAATATTCCCAGCAAGTAAATTCACGTGTTATTCCTTTTTATAAACTACCAGTACTGTTCGGAACACTCTAGGTAGTTTAGTTTATCAAGCTTATACTACTTATATTGTTGCTTATAACTCATTTTTCCTAGTTAAGTTCGTCAATTGTTTTTTTACATTGTCAGTCTATCTGTATCTCACCTATTTTGTGTCTTAAATTTTTTTCAGGGTTTGAAATAAGTGATGTGGACGCCGAAAAATTGCACACACCCCGTGATATTGTGGAACATGTGTATCATTCGATTAAAAAAGCAGAACCTTCAAATTAAGATACTGGTGAAATATTAAAACACTTCTAATTACTACTAAAAACATTCTAGACCATATATTATTGTAGATATTGTTCTCCTGAACACTTTACTTTTCAATTTATGAAGAGTGCTTGAGCTCATAGAAAAATATCTCTATCTTTCTCCAGAACCTTGTCATATTATATCACTAGGTCTTCAGTTGAAGTTGCTTCATAGTAACATAAATTTAAATGTATAAAGGAAATCAGTAGTTTAGTTATGTTAACTTTAAAAATACTGTCTCGATATTCGTTGCGCGTAATGATGTTTTTTTTCAAATATGGATATGAAACAAAGTTATAGTTAACATACGCTTTGTCGTGATTACGTGAATAAACCTGTATTAAAAACAAATTTGGAGAGAACACAGCTTTCTGGAACTCATTTTGTATTTTGCCAGCCATTGGGATTAATACCCAATCTTGCCAGGTAACACATTTTTTTTTAAACCCGTGTCTATGTTACACGAAGGCTTCAGCTTTCCTAACTCGATATCTCTTCAACCTGTTTTGAAGGGATTGATAAAATACGAGTAAAACTACTGACTACTCAATGCCTTGTTAATCGATCCTACCCTGTATCAAGGTTTTGAGGATATATTACTACGAAAGTGCATCGCATTGTCTAAACTGGGAGCAATGAATAGACCTGAAGGCCTCTATGAATTATTGATAGACATGACACAACTTTGAACATTCTATAAATGCGTGGTGGTTCGGAATCATTAATTATCGTTCTCAAGTTAATTGATAAGCTTCGTCAGGTTCTAGAACATAGGCATACTTATCGGCGTCCGACAATGGTGGTATTTCTTGACTTAAAAGCAGCATTTGACTCGGTAGACCGTGAGATTCTGTGGCAGTGTCTGTCATTGAGAGGCGTACCTCAGAAGTACATAAACCTTGTGAAGGCTCTTTGCTCGAACACTACCAGTCGAGTCAGAGCTTATGGCGAACTGTCATCTACTTTTGTAACCTCAAGTGGTGTCCGTCAAGGCTGTCCACTTGCTCCATTTCTGTTTAACTTCATCATAGACCTACTGATGGAAATAACATTCTCGTCGACTGAATTCTCGGGTATTGATCTCCTTCCAGGAGGTCCACTTATCGACTTAGAATACGCAGATGATATAGTCCTGCTTGGTGAAGACGCTGATAGAATGCAGAGTCTTTTGGTAGCACTAAGCAACAATGCCGGAATGTTTGGAATGCGCTTCTCTTCCTCTAAATGCAAGTTGTTGCTTCAGGACCGGTCTGCGTTAACACCTGAACTAAGGATAGGGAGTGAAGTAGTCGAACGCGTTGACAACTTCACTTATCTTGGAAGTCTGATCAACCCTAATGGGTTGGTGTCTGACGAAGTCTCAGCACGGATTCGAAAAGCTCGTTTGGCTTTCGCCAACTTACATCACCTATGACGAAGGCGAGATATCCGTCTATCAATAAAAGGACGAGTATACTGCGCGGCAGTCCGTTCTGTTTTAATTTAAGGCAGCGAAACGTGGACATTAAGAGTAGAAGACACTCGTAAGCTACTAGTATTTGACCACAAATGCCTTAGAAATATTACTGGCGTTTGCTGGGATCACCGGGTAAGTAATAGTGAGGTTAGACGCAGGGTATTAGGTAATGATGGTAAATCAGTTGATGAGGTTGTGAATGTTCATCGACTGAGATGGTTGGGCCACTTGTTACGTATGCCCGAACACCGATTACCACGACGTGCTATGCTAGCCGGTGTTTGGGATGGTTGGAAGAAAGTTAGGGGCGGCCAAACCAAAACGTGGCATCAGTGCTTGAAGTCACTAACTTCTAGTCTGAGCCATGTTGGTAGATGCAGACTACTTGGTTGGGGTCCGCGTGATTATCGTAACCAATGGTTGGAGACTTTGTGTGACATGGCTCAGAATCGGTCACAGTGGCGTCGGTGTATACGCTCTCTGTCTTCCCTTAAACCAAGAGATTAAAATCGCTTCATATTTTTCTTTCTACGAACTAATTCTTTCTTCCTGTACTATATCCTTATTGCAATCTTTCTTTTATATATTACCACCTCTGAATTAACTACTTTTATGAACCCGGTCTCTATCTTGTTGTGTTAATGAGGTATAGCAACTTGGACCGATGCAAAAATGCGCCTGGTCCTACGTTGTAGGTGACTGACTCCTTTAATTAGTTATAAATACTCGAGATTTATCGAAACTTTTCAAGTTAGAACTATATCCTCCGTACACTGTTTTATTGGGGCTAAATAAGCACTATAGTTTGCCTATTTAACGGGATTCTCCAACTTGCACCTTTTATATATTAATGCGAATCAAACTCTCGGTATTCTATTGCGGCCATGAATTGCTCTTCCCGCATTCTAAGCGTAAAAAGACCCTACACAGAATTCCTTAGCTAAAATGTCCTTTTTTTTAGTTTAAGCAGAAACGGTGTTTACAATTCCTAACACATTTATGAAGTCAGTAGCTATACATCAAGTATGAGAAGCTTTCGTTTACAGGAATCTTTAGTTAGATTGCATAATTTAAAAAATGTTGGGAATATCCTTATTGAGTTCCATGTTATTGTACATTGCTGAGTATTTTAGGAAGGTGATTAGCGTTCATGTCGTGTCGGTGATGGATCGTGAACATGTTGATATCTATTTTTAATCCCGTCTACGACGTCGAGAATTTACTTTGTCAAACAACTCTCATCTGACTATCTTTTGAAATGACTGCACCCGTTTGATACTGACAGTGTAAACGGGGAATTCATTTGCACAATGTAATGATTTAATACACGTATTGATTCTTGCCTGTGTCAGAACAAGATGATCTTTGTTAGCACTTTGAATAATATTCGCTAAATTTATACCTCTGACCTAATTTCCCACGATCTTAGCTAAGTTTAGAGGTTGCGAGAGTTAACTCAGTCAATCATAAACACCATGGCATTGATGTCAGTTGAAGTTGTCATACTACACTAGCATTAAAGTAGAATTGACAAGATGAATATCACTTGAGTCGAAGTTATCGTAACAACAATGATAGTAGAAAGGAGCAAATATTTAATACATAGTTCAAAAACAGTGAATAGAATGGTATGTATGAATGGATACTTAGGCAAACTAAATAACTGAACTTAGGAAGTAAAAATAATGTATATGTAGTATCACAGTGAGTAGAAAAATTAAGTCAAGGTTTCTGATGTATCGAGGCTCAACGTAAACCACTTCTTTAGAAGATAATCAAACAAATTAAATTAACCCAAGTTTATATAGTACTAACTAAACTTAATTTTTCTACTCGTCGAGATATTACAAACAGATCTTCATCCATAGCAACCTACCCGATGCCCAATTTATTTGAAATTATCAGTCAAACCTTGGTAACGACACTATGAACTAGAAGGATTTAGGAACTATAGCTACAATTGAGATCCTTAGTTTGTGAGAACGAATCAGAATTAGTTCCCACAGTGAATATGCATGAACAATAGGATGTGGTCTATCAATCCGTGTGGATTCGGTTCAAATAAGAAGACTAAAAACATGCACGCAAGTTGTCACTTGCAGGAATCAGCATAGAA